TTTGCATTGTACATATAGATTACATGAAACATCTCTTTCTGTCAACCCTTTGTACTAAGAAAAACGAAATGAGACAGTAACTGATAGGATATACTTCAGTCACTAAGAAACAAAATATTTCATTAAAAACGCAAATGGAATTCTCTCTTCACTTTCCCAACCTCGCATTGTTTAACATTTATATAAAATATGTGGTACAAAGAAAGCGGGTGCAAATATAGCTTGCATGCATTAATGGGCAAATTTTCTGAAGTACTTTGTCTCGTATATGAGCTTTTTTTAACATAAATTCCATGCGCAAAAATGATTAAAAATAAAAGCCTTGCTTTGGTTTTACTTCCCCAATCATTTTTTAACAAAGAGTAACTAAACTTTATAACTAAAATAAGAAGTTTTATATTTTTTCTAATAAGAAAAATCATTATACTGCTTACGTAGCAATTCACGTGAAAAAAGTGTTTCTCTAAATTTTAATAAAAGGAAATGTTGACTGAAATTGAACTTGTTTTGAAAAAAAAAAAAAAAAAGGTTAAACAAGAGTAACCAATGCAATAAGTATGCAAATAAATAAATATCGAATATGGAATAAAAAATAAAAATCAGTTTTTAAAATACTTTTGTTTGTTTATGCTGATTTCTAAATCTCTTAAAGTACTATTTAATAATAAAATTGTTCTAAAAATTTTTATTTTTAAACCTGAAGAATGATTACAAGTGAAATAAAACAAAAGTAAATTTAAAGCTACATAATTACCAGTTTTTAGTGGAGGACTTTGTAAGAAAGTGAAATATATAGGAAAAAACTGTAACGCAAAAATATACATCAATCTAGCTTTAATGTGGCAGATGGTAGAAAAAATAATATACGATTGATTAATGAAAATGCTTTAATTCTTAATTACGTTATTATTTATCCAGTTTAAGAAAATCAGTTTCTTTTTCTATTAATTGCATTTTAAATGCCTAATGAAGTTAATTTGTATTAAGAATGAAATGTTTGATTTGAGGGAAACTCTTTCATTCCACACACATAAAATTATCAAAACTTTAAACTAAAAAGGAATAAAGTAAATAACCCTCAATTCTCTTCATAAATAGGATATTTAAATGTACAGCAACTGTCCGATTATGATTCCAGAACTTTACATAAGTCTCGAAGTATAGATATTGTATTTAATTGTCGAAATACTGGTTAATTAACTGCATATTTCACTAGACTAAGGAAATCAATTTGGATTCGACTAGACAAAACTTAGAAATTTAACAAATAAGTAGATAAGCAGCTTGATAATATTTGGAGAGCTATTTAATATTTGGTAGTTCATCTAAACAAGATGCTGAATTTTTGCCTCGTATCGTCTTACTTACTCGTATATTTACTTTTGATTCGATTCACTCAATTGTATTTTAAAAGTATTTGATTAATTAAGACCCCTCAGCTTTCCTTTCATTCAGTTAAGCTGTGACTGCATTAATCAAGTATTTTGTATTTCTAATTACTTTAATTTATTTAAATAATTTTCATGTTAGAATTTCTGAAAATTATAATTCTATGAAATTTGCATATTTTGAATTAGTAACATTCACAAAAATATTTTTGCTAGCATGGTTCTTTCGCTGGGGTTAAATGTTTCGAAAGTGTCCTTTTCTATGCTTTTAATAATCACAGTTACTTCTGTAAATGAATCTTTCGTCCTTTGACCTCTAGATAGGTGAAAAGTGTTATGAGGTCACTGGATCCATCCCCAGGGTACTCTTGATCAAAACTGGAATAAAGTTTACGCTGACAGTCTTCGTATGCTTAATTAAACAATTCAGTCGAATTTTCACTCAAATGAGGAAAGTTTTCTGAGAGTGTGTAATGAATAAAGTCGCAAAAGATCAAATTTTCTAAGAGCTTATGTTAAATACCACTGTGAAAGAACAAAAGCAATTCTTCAAAACTGTTGCGTTGCTCTAGATCACAAAAATCCTTACTGACACAGTCCGTAATTCCAAGCATAAAAATCAAAGGCTAGAAAGTTTCCCGGTAGTGTGGGTAAAAGTAAATTAAAAAAATAAAAAGAAAAGTAACCATATGAAACATATTCAGAGTTTAATGCACGTAAGCTTTTCTCAAAGTAGATTTACATTAACTAAATCTGTGTGTGCCTGCTTACCAGATGGGAGGGGGGAAGAAAACAGAATGTATAAATATTATTTCTATAGTTATCCAAAGCAAGTTTGCAATGCATTTTTCGAAATATGAAGTTCGATGTATTTTGGGCACGTTCTCCTTATTTCTGGAAATTTCCCATGTCACAGATTTAGAGAATATATGCTTTATGCACGTTTTTCTACACTTTTTCACAACATTTTTTTTCTTGACAATAATTAAAATTATTGACTCCAAAGACAAAAAAAAAAAAAAAAAATTGTAATAAAAATATACTAGTTTCATTCTAATCATTCAATTGCATTTGAAGCAATCAGTTTTTTGTTGTTGCGAATGAAAAATATTGACTCCAAAAAATTAATTATGGAATACGAAAAATATTTTAGTTCCATTTTAATCTTCCGATTACTTTCGATGCATTGACTTTTTTATTCTTGCAATAGGATACAAACAGCCCAAATATTCGCATCTTGTGCATTCTGCATTACAGCATTTCAGAATTTCATGATTCTTCTAAAAAATATTCGCTTCGATGTTAATCTTCATAAAATGTATTATTTTATTTAATCAAATTTATTCATTGGATTTTCTGTTGTTTTACTTTCAGGAATAAATTTACACTGATAAATATATGTTATGAATACCATTCATGAATGTATTACGAATACCATTCATATTACTATGTTGTAATCATTTGGAAAAGTCATTTTAAGTTATCTCTGCTATCGTGTTAGTATTACAGAACATCAGAAAAGCGGGTAGTCGTGGTCTGTGGTAGTTAACTTTCATATTAATTTTCTACTGTACCAAGTATCTAATCCAGGTTCTGAAATTTAAACAAGACTGAAAATTTTAGTCAGTCTTTAAAACGAGGCACTTAAGAAAAACTCAGTATTTTCATGCAGCTAATCGAAAGTATCTCCCATTGATTAGAATAAAAACAATGCACTATCTTCCAGTAGAAGCAGTTTCGAGCATAATTATCAAATAAATAAAAAATTTAATTTGCTATTATTATTTTTACATTTGAAAACTGCTTTAGTGTTATTCTAATTGGTTGTCAATGACTGAGTAAAACAGGTGGCTCTTAACCTAAGACAGAGGTAACTAAAATATGATACAATATTTGTACATTTTTTAAGCTTCTTTTGCTTGACAGTACTTTTTAATTTTTCCCAAAATTTTATTTCCTGTAAGATAATGGAAAATATAGCCTTCTAACATTTCTGTTTGATTTCATAGCAAAAATGCATAAAAAGTAACTAAGTTTATACACGCGATATTAATCTCTAACTGCCTTTAATGAATAATGCGAATATGATTTTTTTATAAAAAACTCGTTTGAAGTTCAGACACTGCAAGCCTTTGTGTTTGCAAGCTTTTGTGCCATTATAGTTAAATATTTCTTACATGGTTAACGCCAGTCCCCGTTTACTAATTCACGCATATATTTGTAAAAATTATTAGCAATATTTTCTGCATGTGCAGTTTTATACATTCTGCAAATACTTTGTGAGAATATATATGATATTATAATTCGTTAGGGGTTGACAGCAAGTAATCATCAAAAGTTTGCTAAATAAGTATGAGAAAAGTGGGCGAAGTATTGTGGAATTATTTTAAATATCTAGTGCACTTAAAACATCATTCTTTCGACTGAAAGCTTAATAGTGTGTTTAATGACTAGCAATTGAAACAATGTGTACCTTTTTATTGCAAGGAAAAAGTGAACGTGTTATAGAACGAAAATTATGACAATGTTATACACAGATACGTATGATTTTTACATTTATTACACATGCAGGTATTTTAGCAGCAATCTTACTTTCATGACTTCTAAGTCAGAATTTGTGTGTGAAAATTTTGAAATTGCTTTTATTGTCTTTAAGAAATTCTCAGAAACTTTGTTTCATAAAAGTAGTAGTTTAAACTCTAATTTATAAGAATAGTTATTCAAATCTGGAGTAAATTTTATTGGTTTAATCTTGTATTCTTTCTTTCTTTTTTATTCGCTGGTATGGTATTAAAGAATGTGTTTCATTTTGTAGTGTTTCGAATCTGGGAAAATAGTTCAATGAAAAAAATCACAGTTGAATATGCTTCTTCCCTTGAAAGTGCTTTACTTATTTTTTCAAATGAAATAAAATTAAAAGATATCGATTCATATAATAAAATAACCTTACCTGCTGTTGTCTGTATTATGTTCGCTAATAAGGCAGGAGGCATTAAACTTTTTATTAAATAAACACTTAAATATTTTATTTTATAACAAGCCCATAAAATTACTTTTATTGAGCACTTAATGTATTAATTAATGAGAGCACTTAATGTATGTAATATTTAAAATAAAAAAATTAAATTTCGAATTAAAAAAAAACAAAATGAAATAGGAATTCTAATTCATTAAAGATAAATATAAATTGTCACTTTATTATTTCAGAAATTAGAAATTTCTGTATTTATTTATTGCTTTAAAACTGTTAATCAAAGACTATCCCTTAACATAAAATATCAGTACATAAATAAAACTCCAAAAATTTTAACCCCCTGCAAAAAAGGGGGGAAGAAATGCAACGAGCTACTGCTACACATTTATTGATACATCCCTTTCGCGTGTATTTTAGATCTTTCAAAATACAGCGCGTTTATTTGTGTTTAGTGAAGAAAGCATACCGCCATATTGCTTTCCTCTGAAAAGCGTCACGCAACATAAAGAAAAGGAACGCCTTTACATTTTTTGTTGCTAAACGACAACTCTCTTACTCTTTCTTATTGCTTGTTTTTATGTTTACGACTGTCTTCAGGAAGCAGGATGCATTAATAAAACATTAAAATATCGACTTACTTGATCTGTTTTGGTTGTAGAAACGTGAGGATATCCTCTCTTTCTTTGGGTAGATGTATGCGGGGCGTACATGCCTTGCCATTCATTGGTAGACGGGTCGAGGAGAAGCTTTTTGCTGCTATTCGCTGGGAATCGATAATCACCTTGTACGGCCACACATTTCACCTCAGGGCTTCTTTCGTTCGACACAACACCTTGAAACTTTCCTGTTCCTAGTACTCCCAATATTAAGATGCTCAGCGAGGTAAATTAACCTAAGATTGCAGTCTAAAAGTAATGTAAAAATGTGTCCGAAATCAGTCTGAGATTGCGTATGAGTAAGGCCTAAAAATTACTGAAAATTCAAGCCAGCAAAGAAGATAAATTATGTAAAACAGAAAAATTAATGAATGTAGCAAATTTTGAAATAATTTGGATCTCCAAAATTTATTTATTTATTTTGCTAAAGTACAAGGACAAAAAAAAAAAAAATTTTTTTTCTTTTCTTTTTTTTTAAATTGTTTATCTTATGGATAAGAAATTCCCCTTTTTTTTATCTCGTACTTGTAATCTTCTAAACTTGTAGTTTTTAGTATAAAATCTTTAAAAAAAATAAATAGGTAGGGATTTCTCTTTTATTCTTAAATTGTAGTACGGATAAAGATGAGAATTTCGTTTTACTTACGTTAATTTGGAAGTATATATAAAATTCAGAAATATAATATGGAATATTATAATTATATGTAATTAATTAAATTAAACTTTTATTTAATTATCTTAATCGGGAACAGTGGTAAATGTATTAACACGGTAGTACACTTTGGGTGAAATTTCTAGCGAAGGCTCCTGCGTTTTATGCTTATTTTACTCTACGATTGTAAATTATGGTAGCATATATTTTTCATAAATTATAGTACGTTTGGTACTACTTTCTTACAGAATTTGAAGCTGGTTAGTAATATACTATCAAATCCTTTTTCCAACTTTATAATGCTAATAATAATTTGTGAAAATAGCTGATTTTAAAAAATTAGACATAAGAGTAAATTCCTTTTAGCTTCTAATTTCCTTATTAAGTTAAATTTAGTGCACTTAAAACATCAAATCGAAAATCGTAAATTCAAAATTTAAAAAAAATCATTTAATGTCTTTCGTTAGAAATTACACACAATTTCTAACACAAAGCTTCTGATTCTGTACAATTTCTAATTCTATTTAATATGAATAATATTATTGCTTTCTGTTTCATGCATATTGAGTATCCATGAATTCCGTTTTATGGGCGCTTGTTGTATTTTGTATTTATAACTTCAGAATTCATCAAAAAATTACATATATGGAATATAAACTGGATGGACAAAAACAAACAAATTAATATAATTGGGCTATTTGTAATCAAATGTTTTTTGAGGGTAATAACAGAAATGATTAGCCAAAACTTTCGTTTTTCAAGATATTTTAAGAATGTCCATTTTAGGCACAATTTTCTAATATAGTTTTGTTAGACATACACTCAGAAATTAAAAGGTAAACCAAACCCTAGGTATTCTACTTCTTTCATTAGCTCTAGCACCCTAAGTAGACACTGACTCTGACACCTTAGGTAGGTAGACCTTAGGCAAAGTAGGCTGCGCCACCCTGGTGTGTATTAACGTTATATGTTTTGACTGTGTATAATGGCAAAAGAAGTATATATAGAGTAAAATCAATACTCACAAGCCAATTTAAAATAAAATTAAGATTAACACATGTATTCAAATTTGAAAGAATTTGAAAAGACAATAATGAAGATTATATATACAAACAAAGATAGAATTGGAATTAAGCCCAGAGACTTATATGTTTTTTCTAGCCAGTCCCAATTTTTGACCATACGGCCAGCTAGGAGAATCGGGGCTGTGCCCTAATAATAATAATAATAAACTCCTCTTGTACTGAACTCAAATATAAAATTCTTAATTTTTAATCACGAGCATCAAATCCTAATGATCGTTTTTAATAATCAAATGCAAATTTCCAAACTGTTCGTAAAGTTAATATTCACAAAACTTGTTTTAAAAATCATAGCCAAATATTGGAAAACAAATAATGAAATTTACCGTGAGTATTGATTTAGCAGGTAGTCACATATCTACTCTTATTTACGCAATTTGTTACACCTCCGATGCGTATAAAATTTATAAGGCTTGTTAAGATTGAGTTTACTTTTTTTCAAGTTGTCATTGTTAACTAAATTATGAATATTAACAGCAGCACTTAGGACCGAATGCAAAAGTCTCAGATGGGATCCAACCATAAGCGTGTTAACACGTACCACTTGACAGAAAAGAGAGAAATGAAAGCACTAACCTTATAACCCAACATACTTTTAAAGGAAAATTTAGTAATTTATATCGAATTATTATGTATATACTAATAATTCTTTGATGTTGTATTTTAATTTACTTAATAATAAAACAGCAGAATTTTTTACATCTATGTAAAGTACTAGTTTATTTACGTGATTTCTCCAAACTTTATTTATTTATTTTTTTTTTCAGTAAAATTCTTGTTTAATTAATGTAGTTTTTCCTTTGAGAATTGTGCATGTGCACGCTTAGGTAAAATGTATGGCCTTGTAAATAAAATGTAAGAAAACATAAGCAAATTTATTTATGTATGGCATTGACATATATACTTACTAAGAAATTCTAGTGCATTTGCCTTAAAGGAATCATAAGGCTTTTATATTTATGCTTATACTAAGTAAGTCGAAGAATTCCTTTGCATTTATATTAGTTTAAAATAATTGTTATCTTGAAAAATCGGGTTATTTTAAGCATAAATAAGAATTTGCGATGCCAGTTAGGTTCGTTTAAGCTTGAACGAATGCGTCAGGCATATTTATTTTAAAGAGATCCTGTGCTTTTCCTATAGCATTTAGTAAGCACCTGAAAGAGAAACAGACTTATAGACTTCTTTTCAAATAAATATGAGGCTAAAATCAAAAAATAAGTTTAACCCAAATTATGTTATCGTTATAATTCAGCTTTCATAAAATTATAAGTTTTGATCTTCCAAGAGCAATAGAATATTTCATTTCTTTTATAAAAGAAGCAATATAACTCTGTACGATTCTGTGACTTCTCTTTTATTCGTGCAGTTATTTAAAATCATGTGTAGAGAATTTTTTGTAGATGGCGATATGCACCGAGAATGTTTGTTTGGAAAAAGGGAAGTTGCCGGCTTGCAATGACAGGAATTACTCGTCTCAAATAAATGTTTTGTTTTGTTTGTGTGTGTGTAAATTCAAGCTTCATATAAGGCTCACGCGGATTACTACTATTAAGCCAACTCCGAGAAGATCTAAAATAACGTAACATTGTAGAGTCATTAGGTTAATTGGAAGCAGAAAAGATGAAAAATATGCAACCGCCTTCGCCGGAATCGAACCACGGACCTTTGGAATACCGACCCAGCGTGCTACCGTTACACCACGAAGGCACGCTAGGGAAGTGGAAGAAATACCTTATAAGATCATGAATTTAAATTAATCTTCTGACTTCTTATAATCAAATATTTGATGTAAATGCCAGTCCTATAATCGTATGTAGTAATTTTATGACATTAAAAAAGTAACGAAAGAAAAAGAAGCCCTCGTTTATTAAGTTTCACAAAGGGCAGCATTAATTTTGGTAATTGCTAACAATAAAGAATGCCAGTCTTCTTTGTCATTTGCTTTGTGAAGACTATCTCGAGAAGAGTTTTCTGAAATGAAGCTGGTCTCAGTAACATTATACAAATGCAAAAACCCTGAAAATTCCTGCAATGCTTGCTTTGTAATTTAGCAACCATTTCTTTGCCTGAAAAATACCATACATGTGAACATACGCACAAATTTAGCATTACGTATTTCTGAGTAACAACTTAGTGGTAGAAAAAGTCGCAAAAAGAAGTAAATGGTTACAAAACATCAAATTACTCCTATTGCAAATTACATGCAAATAACTTATGCTGGCCTTGCAAGAAGTAATTCGAAGTTTCAATGATTAAGAAATTTAAAATAGCCCCTGAAACTCTGAAATCCATCAAAAACTAGGGGGGGGGTATATATTAATATTAAAAAAGGGAAGAAATATATGTAGTAAGTACTTGATTTTCATCTACAGCATTATATTTTGATATAAAAATGTCATTTCCTTTACATATACAAATTTTTTATACGAGGAATTCAAAAAAGGTATGCCACAATGTAAATTCTAAACAGAGCTTAACAAAGTGTGCTCAGTGGTTAATGATCAGTTTCGCTCTTTGTAAGCAGTAGTAAGTTATTTTTCCATTTCCGACCTCTCACGTAATAATTTATAGTTATAATTATTCCACCATTTCATGCTACTCAAATAATTTACTATATTTAGGCAGATAGCCCTCGAGGCTTTGCCGTAATTAAATAACCTAACCTAACCTAACCTAACCTCATAGATGATATTTGTCCTCAGTTTCTCATGAAGCTAAGATTATAGGTGACCTATTTATAGTCTTCGTGGTTATTTCAATAGTTGTATATTGCCTGAATTTTTCTCCGAGTCTACTCCAACTTTATTCATCTGAGAGTTGATTTCTGCTCGTATCCTCCTTATAGGGAGAAATGCTTTGATTTTTGTTAGTACGAGTATCTGCAAATAATGCCGTATTTACTAGCGTATTTCTCCCTCTCTCATATCCTAGATTTTAGCATGAGGTTATATATATTTTTTAAATTATTCTTATAATTTTCCCCTTCCATAAAACGTTTAGAAAGAACGTTCATTAGATTTTTAAAATGGATTCGTCCATGTAGTGATTGTTTTGCCTTACTAATTGATTTGCTCGTAAAATTTAGATGCATGAATTTCGATAAGAAGCACTAGTAGTGAAAAGCTTCAATAAAACTAAGCTATCTAATGTTTTTGATATTTCTGAAGATCATTGAACGTGAGAAGACAGACTAAATGGTGACGAAGATGATAACAATGGGGACGATTTTCAAGATGTAGCAGATGACACAGACAACACATCTAGCAGCATTAAATTAGCAGTAGCAAGCAATAAGAGCGAGCAAAATTCAAGATACAGGGAAGTAGAAATGAAAATATTTAATTGGATAGTGTGGTGCTAGTATTGCTATGCATTCTTATTAGAAAATAGTTTTCTTCTAAATAAATAATATTGTGATAGTCACCAGTAGTTTATTCATGAATAATTTTCATTTGTTTAAATCTTATTGTAACCGTGTTTTTCGGAAATTAAATTATTCGCATTTCCT